AACATTACAGTCTAGAGCTTTTGAATACATATATATATATATATATATTTCATCATTGTCAATCATGTATCCTTTTTAGGACATTCTTCTCCATGACGTCTGTTTTTGGGGGCAACATGCCTACCCAAGCACAGCTCTAGATAGCTGACATTCAAGATATTGCTTTTATATTGCACAACGAAAAACCCTGTAAATGGAATTGTATTTAAAATGATATCATATGAATGTTTTTGGCTATAAAAATGTTTTTGACTGCCCAAATAAAAATTACAACAAAATCTTGCTCAAAGTTGACTATTTTTTCCCTCCCAAAACAGTAAGTTTTTGTGTTAGTGGTCACTGCCTTATTTGTAAAAAATAAATTTCTGGATGGGGGCTCATTTAAGAGGTTATAATTTACCAGACATATACAACTGGTACCCAGGCTAGTTGAATGGCTGCCCCATTGGATGAAATCCATTGCAGAGTAATGATTGATGTTTTGGATCAACTTGACAAATGGAAAGTATGCTTTGTAACCTTACTAGCACAGACGAGTCACTGAGACAACCAGTACTCTCATAGATAATATCTACTTTTCACGAAAAGAGTCTATCAGGGTGACAAAGGTACCAAAAATAGCTATAAGCGATCATTATCCTATATGTGCTGTCTGGAAGCTTAAGTTTTCCAAAAGCAACAGCATACTCATATAAAATATAGATCCATGAAGAACTTCAATGAACAGAAATTTAGAGAAGATTTAAAAGAGGTACCTTGGCATGTACTGGACACAGTTGACAACCCAAATGATGCATTAAGTGCTTGGAGCAGCCTTTTCATGAATATAGTCGATTGTCATGCAGCAATGCGTAGTAGAAGAGTAAGACATCCAAAACAACCTGACTGGATGACTCCTGATATCATTCAGGCTATTAATGAACGAGACCGATTAAAAGCAGCTGGTTTTCATAACGAGGCTAAAATATTGCGCAATAAAGTTGTTGGGCTTATAAAAGAAGCAAAGAAGGTGTACTACCATACAATGATTGAAAATCAGCAGAAAAATAACAAAGCATTATGGTCCTACCTTTAGGATTTAACACCAAAAGAAAAATCGCAAGAGCCAATATTTATGAGCAGTGATGGAAAGCATATAACTGACAGTGCTCAAATCTCCAACCTTTTTAATAAGCATTTTGTAGACATTGTTGAAAAGTACATACCAGAAGTGTCAGGAAACCTTATGCCAAACTTGCAGAGGCTTGAATCCTCTATCGAATAAAAAATTAACAGATCTACAAAATTCACAATACCATTAATGACAGAGGAATACGTATTAAAGGAAATAAATGCCATGCCTACAAAAAAGGCTGTTGGAATCGACGGGATAAGTTGTAAATTGTTAAAAGCAGCAGCTCCCAAGATTGTTTAATCTGTTACCAAGATCATGAATAAAAGTTTTACATCTGGTATCGTTCCAGACGTTTGGAAAACCGCGAAAGTCACTCCAGTACACAAGTCTGAACTTTCGACCAATTTCAGTCCTTCCACTGCTAAGTAAAATAATTGAAAAACATGTCCACCGTCATTTCTACAGATACCTGGACACACATGGTCTCCTTTACGTAGCTCAGTCAGGCTTCAGAGCAATGCACTCATGTGAAACTGCTCTTCTCAATCTAACAACCTGATGGTTGAAGTCTATGAACGATGGCCTCATGACAGCGTTCGATCTTGTCAATCATAAATTATTATTAGAAAAGCTAAAACTGTATAAATGCTGCGGTAAAACACTTGAATGGTTCACTTTGTATTTGAACGAATGTAAGCAAATGGTTAATTTTAAAAATAGCATCTCAGATCCTGAGGTTGTGAAGTCAGGGGTACCACAAGGCTCAATTTTAGGTCCACTTTAATCATCTTGTTCATGAATGACATACCATTAGAAATAAAGGAAGGTGAATTAGAGATGTATGCAGACGATAGCACTATATCAGTTTCTGGCAAGACTATCAAAGAGATTGAAACAAAGTTGAACACATCTGCTAGACAAATCGCAATGTGGTGCAATGAAAACAAGATGGCTGTCAATGTAGAGAAAACAAAGTCTCTTCGGGTCACGACACAGTAAAAACCTTGAAAGCTGAAAAGAAACCAACAAGATCAAGCAATTGAGGTGAAAATGAATGAGCAGCCATTACTTCAGATTCACCAACAAAAGCTCCTTGGAGTTATTATTGACCAAGATCTTACATGGAATGATCAAGTTAAAAACGTATGCAATACTGTAAGCCGCAACCATGCTCTATTTCTTAGGATCAAGTCTTACCTGCCATTTGATACAAGAAAATTGTTCTATCAAAACTTCATACAAGTCTATTTTGATTACGGCAGTATGGTTTGGGGGTCTTCTACGAAGATATCCTCGCTGTTGAAGCTTCAAAAGAGAGCAGCAAGGAAGCTTCAAAAGAGAGCATCTATCTGTCTCTCTGTCTATCTGTCTATCTCTCTATCTCTCTATCTAATCTATCTTCAGATCGGTGAAGGTGCCCTAAAGCAACCTTTGTGTAGTTTGCCACTGCCCATCAAAATATCTTTATTTACTGGAAGCGGTCAATTCTGTTAAGACTCTTATTTTATGGACTTGCTGGTATAAACAAAAATTCTTTTCCCAAAAAGTCTTAACAGAAATATTCCAAATATAACTTGGGAAATGTGGATTTAGGGCAGTACACTGTGCAATGTGTGTTAGAATCATAGTAGGCAAAAATGACCAAAATCACGGAAAAAATAGCGAAATTGCACAAAGATCATGTTTGTTGCACATTAAAACCACTTATCTACCTTTTGCCGTTATCTACCTTTAAAAGAAAATTTTGAAAAAACTTCTTGAGTCATAAATTGTATATGTAGTTGGAGTCTATGATTGGTTTTTTCCAAAAAATAATTGTCTACGGGTGGGTGGAAATAGGGCTGCAGCGAAATCATAGTGTCATTTCTCAGAATTTTTTTTGATTTTATAATGAAACTTCTAAATCTTGTTTTCCGATAGTATAAACAATAATTATACGAAGTCTCATTTCGATTTGAACTTTCCCGTCAGTTTTATGAAGGATTACTTGATGCAATCTTTTGACACATTTTAAAGGTGGAATTAGGGCCATTAAACATATAAAATGCAAAAAACAATGAAAAAATCAGCCTTTTTTCGTCTCTTTTGCCAGAGACATACCATAACGTTCACATTTAACATATTGTTGCATTACGGAACAATTTACGTTGTTTTTTCTATGATTGCAAAAAATCTGCTTTTAAATGCTCCTCCCACCTTTTCATATTCAGCTATTGCACATTAGGTACAATTGCACGAAGAATATTGCTTAGCTACTTCTTGTTAGGCCAGCCGTTTTTATATTTTTTTATCATTGTATGTAGCCCCATCATCAAGAGTATCGCATTAACCTAGCAAAGAGGGCGCTACTTATGCCCGTCTTGAATCGTGACTCTACGAAACTATAAATATCACTTTTCCTATGGTAGCCATGCCAATCAAAGTGCATTAAAACACAACATACATGCTATAAATATCATTGTTTTATAAAAATCTTGATTTCATGTGGTTCCAACAACTTTTATACATGCGATGGATACATTTGCTCATCATCATCATCATTAGTAACGGAAGGGTCAAGGCTGACTCGCCGTGGCACACGCAATGGTTGTCCGCCAAGTGTCCCTGTCTTGCGCCTTCCGAAGCAGCTCGGCCATGGTCATTCCCAGTAAATCTTCCACGTCATTTTCCAGTTTCCTTCGTGGTCTTACTCGTTTCCTCTTTCCGTCCACCATTCCCGAAAGAATGTCATTTCCCAAGCCTTTACTTCTCGCAACATGGCCAATAAAAGATAACTTCCTTTTGTTGATACTGTTTATGAGGGTTGCTTGGCCGATCCTTTCCAGGACCCATTCGTTCGTTTTCCTTTCTCTCCAACTTATACGCATAATTCTTCTGTAACACCATATCTCGAAGGACGTCAGTCAGTTCCTGTCACATTTCTTGAGGACCCAACATTCACATCCATAAGTTGCTACAGGGAATACTAGCGTATGGAGGATTCGGATTTTTGATTGGAGTGTGATCGAGCGGTCTTTCCAAATGTTGCTGAGGCTTACTACTGCACTTCTTGCTATGGCCAACCTTCTTCTGATTTCTTTGCTGTCATTGCAATCGTTAGTAAAGTTTGCACCGAGATAAATAAAATTATCCACTGTTTCAATGACTTCGCTGTTAACAGCAAGATCTCGCATTTCCATGTTGTCTGGATCACCAGCCATCTTCATGACTTTCGTCTTCTGTGTGTTTAGCATCAGTCCTGCCTGCTCGCTTGCTACTTTGACTCTTGTGACGAGGTCTTCCAGCTCTTGCATGGATCCAGCAATAAGGACAATGTCATCAGCGTACCTAAGGTTACTGACGGTTCTTCCTCCCACTTTTATGGATCCCTTGAATCCGTCTAGAGCTTCTCGCATAATTTTCTCAGAGTAGACATTAAAAAGATGCGGCGACAGTATACAACCTTGGCAGACTCCTTGACCCATGTTGAAGAAATCTGTCATGCCATAAGTGGTTCTTACAACTGCTTTCTGGTTGTCATAAAGATCTTTTATGAGATGGATGATGTGCGTTGGAAAATCCCATCTCAAACAGTGCTTTCCACAGTGTTTCGTGGTCGACTGTGTCAAATGCCTTCCTGTAGTCTATAGACCAGGCGGAGAATGGGGGTAGGGTCCCCCCTCGGGGAAGTAATTCTAATTAGGTGGGTTTGAGTAATTTTGGGGTGCTGATTCCGAAAATCGATGTTATACAGGCAAGTTGGGGGGCCTTCAGCCTTTATTTCATGCCAAAATCTCGTTTTCAGTCAAAATAGAGCAAGTTGCTTTTTAAGGGTCCACCCTTTGGTGGAGTATCTAAAATTCATTGGATCTAGATAATTTTAGGATGCTGATTCCAAAATTCGATACTATAAGTACGTATCAGGGGGTGTATGGCCTCAATTCCATGTTCAAATCTCGTTTTCACGCAAAAAGAACCGAAGTGGCTTGATAAGATTCCTTCCAATTAAGTAAGTTTTCCAAATTTAGCGCAGTAGGGTAATTATGGTGTACTGATTCTAAAAATAATGTTTTAAGGTCTTTTGGGGGTCTTTTTGGCTCCACTTCATAACAAAGTATCGTACATTGCATCACATTACAGTACACCAAATTGTAACACCTAATCTGAAAGCAAATGAAGACTGCAATGCCTGTGATTCATGTTTGTTGTTGGTATGTCTCAAGATCCTCAGATTGTTTTTGTGAAATGATGATTGCGATCAACATTTCAGCTAAATGGCAGCTAAAAGAACTTGTATCGTTCGCTATGAATCAATAAGCAAGTCCGAAAATTTCGTTAAAGGAAGCGTTTTAATCTTAATCTTTGATTGGGTAAAGCGTAATTCACCAAAACCTTGGTGAAGAGAATTATCACAGAGAACAATTCGGAAACCTTGCACAACATTTTGAACATGATGAGTTATTCTACGGTCAAGGATGCTATCAGAGATTCACTTATGCAAAAGCATTGATGAGGAGAAAGTTAATTAAAGGCGAAGAGATTGAAACAAGAAGCGAAGTTTACACGTGGAGAAGACCGGGCCAAGGAGGCTTTTTCCAGACATTTGTATGATATGTAAGAAGAAGGTTTCAAAAGTGAATGCTATTCCACAGTCGCTATCTAACATTGTAACAGAAGCTGGTGAGAGTACTTTGAAATAATCTGCAAAGGTTGGAGACGACTATGACATGATTATTGCAGTTTCAGAAACTGATTTGAAAACTAAAGAGTTTCTGAAGTCTTAAAAAATGCTATTTAGATTACACCAAGATTATTCGACAAAGAGCCTCTACAGTAATATCTACTGACGACGACGATGAAACATGTGTTAACTTTGATGCAGTACCGTCGTTGATTGAAAATGATATTCTTGAAGGTCAGCAGTGCTTGTCAATAGAGACCATCATGGTAGAGTACAATGGAACAATTGGAAGCAAACAAACCCGATATAAGCTAAAAGAGCTTTCGAAGATATATGGAGATAATATGTTTTTGTCCAGGTGCAGCTCCAAATACCGCAAGTTGTTATAAGTAAGGTATGTCTTCATGCTCCAATACTATCCAAAAAATCCGGCTTCTTTCAAGAGTTCACGGTAAAAAGAGCTGCTTTTATCTTGAGAGAACTGATATTGATATCCGTCGATGATACATTGCCTCTTTCTTGGCCTCCAACTGTTGAAAGTTTGGATCTAGAGAAGCATCACCAAGTCCCAAATTGTTGGAAGTGTTTTTTAAAGCGTTATTATCATCAAAAGCCATCACAATTCTAGTGAAAGAGTTAATCGTCTTGCTGGTTCACTTAGCCAAGATGTTGTGCATACGGTATCAAAGGGAAGGTTCTTGACTCCAAAGCATGCTTCACATTCTTACTAGTCATAAGCAGCCAATCACAGCTTTGGCCAGATTGAGCCATTGCATAACATTGCAGTCCAGACATGATAGTGCCTCGCAATTTTAATGGAGAAAACAGAACCATGCACATTAATTCAATGAGCGATAAAAGATGCCAGTTAGTTACAAAGAAAGTCCGTCCTCTTTTCCAACGAAAACAACCGCACTAAAGTGGCGGAAGATGAAGGTGTCATAGTTGAAAGAATGAAGAGCAATCACGAAAAAGCATATACAAAGCTGATTGCTTTAGTGAAAGCAGCAAACCTAAGGAATGGGGATTCTGTCAGATCACCTTCAGGGGATATCAATGTCCTATCCCTCTTTGTTGCCCTTAATTTTGCGGGAATTCAAGTATTGATAGACAACGGAACGGGTCTAAAAAGGAAAATTGTAAATGTAGCGTCTTCAACACCGTGACATTAAGAAAAGTGGAGAGCACTAATCGGTCTTCTTGCCTTTTCAGGAAATGACTATGTTTCTATTTTTTTGAAAAGGGAAAATAGCTTTTTAGAGACAAATGGCAAAAAGATAGATTACCTAAATATATTTACGAATCTGGGGACCAAGTACCCGAAAAAGTTGAGAAGGGATTGGAAAAGTTTATATACGATTTTAATGGAAACGAAAGGATGCAAACGGTAAACAACGTGAGGAAGAGAATGTTTTTGCAGAAATTTACGAATGAAACCTTGAAGTTAAAGCTGCCACCTTCAATTTAAAGCTCAGAATCAGCGATCAAATCGCTTAATGGTGGATATGGACAACCCAGCTAATCATGGATGGGATGAAAGCTGGCAAATCTAATTGACAGCAATGATAGAGAAAACGATTTTAATGAAGATATCATTGATTTGTACGATGCGTCATCATAATAAATTCATAAAATATACAGTTTCTATACATAGATTGGAGGAAACTGGTTTGATAGATTGATAGATGATATATAGTATAGTTGAGTTTTATAGCTGCTAATGCTCAAGAGCGTTTTTTGAATACGAGACTTTGTTATGAAGTGGAGCCAAAAAGACCCCCAAAAGACCTTAAAACATTATTTTTAGAATCAGTACACCATAATTACCCTACTGCGCTAAATTTGGAAAACTTTCTTAATTGGAAGGAATCTTTTCAAGCCACTTCGGTTCTTTTTGCGTGAAAACGAGATTTGAACATGGAATTGAGGCCAAACACCCCCTGATACGTACTTATAGTATCGAATTTTGGAATCAGCATCCTAAAATTATCTAGATCCAATGAATTTTAGATACTCCACCGAAGGGTGGACCCTTAAAAAGCAACTTGCTCTATTTTGATTGAAAACGAGATTTTGGCATGAAATAGAGGCTGAAGGCCCCCCAACTTGCCCGTATAACATCGATTTTCGGAATCAGCACCCCAAAATTACTCAAACCCACCTAATTAGAATTACTTCCCCTAGGGGGGACCCTACCCCCATTCTCCGCCTGGTCTACTATGAAGCACATATACAGGTTATGGCACTGCTCTCTGTGTTTTTCCATGATCAGCTTCAAGTTTAGAATTTGATCTCGTGTGCCTTTGTTTGCACGAAATCCACATTGTTCATCTGCAATTTCTTCATCTAGTTTACCTTTCAGACGACCGGCTATAACTTTTAAAAGGATCTTGCTGCAATGGCTGATTAAAGATATTGTTCTGTTGTTACTGCATTCTAAAACGTCTCCTTTCTTTGGGATGGGTACAAAAACTGATGTAATCCAATCCTCTGGCCATTTTCTATCTTTCCAGATCTTTTTGCAGAGAACATGGAAAAACTCGACGACATTCTCTCCACCGTTCTTAACAAGTTCCGCGGCCACTTCGTCGATACCTGTGCTTTTGTTGCTTTTCAAATCATTTATGGCTTTCTGGATTTCACTCCGCATAGGGGGCGGTTCTTCTTCGGTTTTGCCGAACGCAAAGTTGTTGTGTGCTAAGTTGTCATTAATTTTATACAGATCTTCGCAATATGACTTCCATCTTTCTTTGACATCATCTCCATTGCACAAAGCATTACCGTTTCCATCTTTTATTGTGTCAATGGTTGGTTTGAACTTTTTGGTCAGATCTTTGATTCCTCGATACAGATCTCTGGTTGAATTAGTTTCTTCAATTTTCTTACAGACTCTTGTCTATTTGCTGATTTTTGTCTTTTCTCATCATTCTTTGTACTGTTGCATTTTGTTTTTTGTATTCGTCGGTTGTTCCTTTCAGACATCTTCGTTTCTCGATTTCTGCTCTTGTTTCTTCTGAGATCCAATCATTTTTTATCTTTTTTCGCTTTTGGATAGTTTGCTTTGCAACTTCGACTAGACATTCCTTGCCTAACTTCCTGAAGTCGTTAGGGGGAATTTCTTCAGTTTCACACTCTAGCAGGGATTCGAATTTGTTGTTAATCTCAATCTTGTACTTTTCGCCTAGAGTGGAGAAATCTAGACGTAGCGTTGGTGGTGGTTGATCTAATTTCTTCAGTCGCATTCGGATCCTGGCCGACAGAAGTTGGTGATCACTGTTGCAGTCGGCTCCTGGTAGAGTTCTTGCATCTTTCAGGCAGCTTTTCCATTTCTGTTCGATCATGATGTAGTCGATTTGATTTCTGATCGTTCTGTCAGGCGATGTCCAAGTGTACAGTCTTCTTGGATGCTGATCAAAAAGCGTGTTGGCTACGACAAGATTGTTTACTTTACAGAAGTCAATGAGAGTTTCTCCTCTTTCGTTTCTGATGCCAAGTCCACAAGTTCCGTGTGTTGGTGTGGCTGTGTTTGCTGTTCCTACCTTGGCATTCAGGTCTCCCATCACGATTTTAATGTCACGGCTGGGTATGGCGTCTAATGTCTCTTGCAGTTGGTTGTAGAATTCTTCAAGTTCATCGTCACTGGCAGTGCTTGTTGGAGCATAGCACTGTACAATGCTGAGATTGTATGGCTTGGCTTTGATACATACTTTCAGGATTCTGTCTGATATTGGCGAGTAACCTATCAATGCATTTGCTGCTTCTTTTGCAAGGATAATGGCTATTCCATGGCTGTATACGACTTCTTTTCCTGAGTAGACGACTTTGAAGGAGTCTCCGCTGACAAAACTGCCGCAGTTGTTCCAGTTTGTTTCTGCAATTCCCAGTATCTGGATCTTGCTTCTACTCATTTCTCTGCACACAGTGTCAAGCTTTCCTAGTTGTTTAAGTTTGCATACATTCCAAGTGCCAATGCGCAACTCGTTCCGCATATTGTGGCATTGTTTTCCAGTAGCATACTTGTCGTGTCCAGCCTGGTTACCCGCTGGATAACGCGTCCCTTGGTGACCCGCGCGACGGTCGATGCGGTATGGGGTTTTGTTTCGTTGTACAACCATTTTGTGTGTGGTCAGGAGTTAGGACAAGGTGGAGTAGAGGCCCCAAGTCTCTTTCTTCAACCGCAGTGCTCGCTAACTGAGCAGGTGATCTCTGCCATTTGCTTGGTTGCACCAAACCTTTGCCAGACATACAAAGCTGGGATGGCCATGGTCCGCAGTTGCACCGCAGTGTGCCCATCTCCGCAATCCGCTATCCTGCTGCCAATAGCTTCACCGTTACCCTAGCACGGGGAGCTGATAAGGTACTACTCCTTGCTCAAGGGAGCCCCAGGGTGCAGTTTACCGTCGTGCAGTTTACCTTGAAAGTTCATGAATTTCACCACAATCACGCTGGAGTCCCGACGGTTTGTTTTCAAATCTTGAAAGAAAACTTATCTCGGTTTTTAAAGACAAGCAAGGGTGATCCCTGAATGGTCTCTCTATACTCTGTATTACATTGGCTACTGAACGCAAAAAGTGGACATTTTTTCATCTTAGTAGCCAATCGTCAGATATACTAAAACCTCGACAAAACTTTATCGGAAATTGCATTAAAACACAACATACATGCTATAAAAATCATTGTTTTATAAAAATCGTGATTTCATGTGGCTCCAACAACTTTTATACATGCGATGGATACATTGGCTACTGAACGCAAAAAGTGGACATTTTTTCATCTTAGTAGCCAATCGTCAGATATACTAAAACCTCGACAAAACTTTAACGGAAATTACATTAAAACACAACATATATGCTATAAATATCATTGTTTCATAAAAATCTTGATTTCATGTGGTTCCAACAACTTTTATACATGCGATGGATACATTGGCTACTGAACGCAAAAAGTGGACATTTTTTCATCTTAGTAGCCAATCGTCAGATATACTAAAACCTCGACAAAACTTTAACGGAAATTACATTAAAACACAACATCTATGCTATAAATATCATTGTTTTATAAAAATCGTGATTTCATGTGGTTCCAACAACTTTTATACATGCGATGGATACATTGGCTACTGAACGCAAAAAGTGGACATTTTTTCATCTTAGTAGCCAATCGTCAGATATACTTTGGGAATCAATGCTGCAGGGGATTTTGATGTTAATTGAACGAAAAGTTAATAATTGGTTGCTTAAGGACGCATAATGCATTTAATTTAATTATTCTATATATTTTTTGCGAAGAAATTTAGAAAACATAATTCGAGTTTAAGGAGAAACGGCTTTATACTCTTCGGTGTATAAGCTCGCGTGCATGTGTAATTGATATGTCGTCGATACGATGTATGAGATAGGCTATGATCTAAAAAAGATAAGATTTTATTAATACTTTGAAAAGGTATGTGTTTATACTCTTCATCCCCAATAAAAATACCCACTAGCTTTTAAAAAAAATTTCAATGTAGAGAAAGCTATGTTAGGAGATATTTACACTTGATTGTTGTTAGGTAGAGATGGAACTACAGTACTAGTAATATCTGAAGATAAACATGGGATTTAGCTATCTTTAAATGGCAGCAATGGCAGAGAGAGTTACCTCTGGAAACAGCACGTCAGTATGTAAGTCCGTTCTTTGTGATAAATCCAACCCTTTGAACTGCTTGATTTGATTTCCGACACGATTAACAAATTCAATGAATATCTGCTCCAATAAATGTTATAGTATTGTTGCAGCACATGTTAACACAAAAGTAAAGCTTTTGAATGGATTTAAGTTCGGCAGATAAGAAGCGATTGACTGAAATGTGGTATGTGAGAGAGTACTATCAAAGCTTTGTGAATATCGAAATTATATAAGAATAGTGGGTTGATAAAAACAGTATTTAATTACAAGAATGACCATGAAAGTAAAAAACATACCACAGAAGAGTCCATTAGCCACATGAAATTGCTCATTTCACGAAGTAGTTCGCTGCTGTTGGCTTCGAACATAAAGATGCGAGGCGAGAAAATCAACTTCTTCGAGATGTTTGCCGAAAATTTCTTCAGATAGAAAAAAAGTAAATGCAATGTTTTAAAATTCTGAACTTAAAAATGCGCTCAGTGAGCAGTAGCCTCAAACTCTCCTGGCAATATCACTTTGTACATTTTCAGCTACATTAACGATAGATTCAATTAGGTACAGGAAATCTATGAAATTCGAAGGCGAAGTAGGTTACCTTCTAGAATATTCAAGATATTTGATGTTTTCTTAAACTATCACAGCTATATTTTTCCAGCACTGACGGCTATCAATTATGTAGCTATGCAAATTTTTTGCTAACGTTTGGATGAATTTAACAGATAAGTGAATTAAAAGATACCTCAATATCCTTTGAACGTGCGAGGAGAAGTTTCTTAGCCTCTTCTTTATCGTTGAGCATTGGAAGACTGCCAAAAATTATAATTATAAAAGCTCATATATCATGCACCACAGCTAAACGCTACTGCTAACCTTTCGCAGGCACTAGATTGCATGCTTTCCCTTTACACAGAAGTTATAATAATAATTGGTAAGGAACTGGTTTCGCCTAATATCAAGGCTCATCAGTACAGCTAGAGTTTAAGACAGTGCTCAGCTGTATACCAGTTGTCTTAATTAATTCAGTCAATACACAAATAGCGTTACTACTGTTCTTGTCATATAGCGTATAATCTATAACAAGAAAAGCGCCCCCAAATGCAAACAATTACAGAAATGGACCTTACTCAAGCATCTTTAAACGAAGGTATCATCTCATGGAAGTACTATCGGTTACGAAAATGAAAAATCAGCATTTTTACAGCTTCTAGGAAGAAAACGACAAAAGAGTGAACAAATTAGCAAAGCAAACTAATGAGAGAGAGATATCAACGAGTCAAATTTAAATGGCCGTTAGAACAAACGGCATGATTGGACTGATGAAACCAGAATGACAAGGCGAATTGAAAAGCTGACGAATATACTTAAGAGTAAAAAGTAAAAAGAATGTGTCAGAGCCTCTAGCTACATCAGACTTACCTTGTAAGAGCGTTGATGTTAATGTGGCAAGAACAGTTCCATTTCTCACCTAGCACAAAGCGTTCACCTACGCAGTACTCGTGGTAACGGCGAAGACAGTAGTGACACAATATGAAACGTGCTTCAGTGGCATGTCCGAAGAAACGCGCACACACTGCAACCCCGTTACACGTTATGTCACAGTTGTCAGAGTCTCTAGACAACAAAGTATTGCGCAATGGTTGAAGTTGCCATTGGGTACAGTAGGAACCCACATAATGGCAACATCCATTTCTGCGTCATCTTGCAATATCTTCTGCTCCAAAACCTCTTGCTTTGAAAAGCAATTAATAATTGCTTTCATCGCCCCAGATATGAGCATTAAATGCAACAAGGCTGTAGAAAAATTAAAATTATGTCAATTCACTGCGAGAAAATGCAAGACGCCATTTCTAAGTATCATTGGTAGCCCTAAAAAAGTTTTTTATTGTGGAGGCAAATTCACTGGCAATCGAGTAGCTTACATTGTCCTTTGCAACCGTTACATAGTTCTTTTTTTCCTTACTTCATAACGATTAGCTAAATCACTTAAACGGCCATAAGAGTAAATTTATGTAGGTTTACAATTATAAAAAGAGATTGGTATATACAGTTGACCCTGAACATCACATCGATGTTAGAATTCAACACTTACTTCCAAAGCGATAAAAGTCCACAGATTTGACAACCTCAGCCAAAGCACAGGCTTTAAGCTGCTCTATGGGATCTCTCAATTGACTGCATTCATTAAAGGTTGCTGAATCAGTGATTTGATGACACAGACTGCCACAAACTTGATCGATTATCTGCAACTTTAAATCATACATGAACTATCACAAATGCTACAGGCTACTTGCTAATATGGTGATCTCTTAAACGAATACTCACAGTATTTTAAATTGCGCAAACAATCAATCACACAGTAAAATAGCCTCACAAAAAACGGGAGAAGCTATATGAAGATACGGTTACTTCCGTAGTGCTTTTATCTTTAATAGATAGTGTTATTATATTCTTTTGGCAGTTTGATTCAACAATCAAGCTAGCTAATCTGATCTAATCCTATCTATCTTGAACATATATTGCTATCTAGAAATAATAGTTACTTTAGTAAATTTCCTTATGGCAATATAAATCTATTTTAAGCAGCAATAATTTAATGGCTCACAAGGATTCATACCGCACCATCTGAAAGACCGTCATGATCAAGAAAGGGTAAATAATTTAAAACATCAATTTCTCTCCAAGATCCTATTCTAATTTTTGTACGAGATCTTGAAAGTCTTGAAATGAAACATGGGAGATTCTACTTGATATATCACTCACTCACCCAGACTCAAAAAATTCACTTACCCTCCTGATCACATCATCAAACTGCAAAGTGCCATATTTCAAGGCTTGAAGCTTAATAAAGCACCAGCTATCCTCGTTACCATAAATCGCAATGGAAATGGAGCGAAACATACAAGTACCATCTGCTTTGACACTAATTGGTTGTTTTCCAGCATCACGTAGCTCATCGGGAACGAGATGGTGAAGCCTTTTTGAGGAAAAGAAATATAGTCAGTGATTAAACATAAAATATATGAAATATGAAATATAATCAAAGAAATTAAACACAAATTGCTTTACAAACTGCTGTAAGGAAACATTCTTCAGCTTGTCTGATTGGAACTAAACGAAGAAAAAGATACTTGCATCTAAAAAGAACTATTCAAAAAATGGTGTACAGAACCAAGTATTGGTCAAGCATTATTTCAAGAGATTGGATAAACATTTTTTAGAATAGAACACACTTCAATGGAGAAGAATTTCTAGTGTTCAAAAACGCCTTAAAAATGACACCAAAGATTTTAAGACATAAACAGGTTAGCAAATAAATAATATAGTATTCCAAATATCTGAAACATAATGGATTGGGTATGTGGAGTACATACATGTTTCTTAATACATAAAAAACGAGGTAGTTTCGGAACACTTACCACAGATTAATGTTTTTCTCCCCTACCAGTGAAGCATCAGCTGGTTCAAGCTGTTTGGGCAAAACGCGAAGCAATTCTTGCAGGACACTCAATTTTGAAGCACCCGCAATGGCTTTGACAAGCATCATTATCCCTTAGGCAATGCTAAAATACACAAAAATTGGCTTATTTCTAAAACAAAATTTTATTTGAAACACAATAAAATTTGTTTCTTGACCTCAATTTTTAAATACTCATACAGTACACATACTCGTATTTATAAATGTTTTTATTTAAGGTCAGCATGTTGTTTGGAAGACTAGTCTTAATCTAAAAGAAATCAACAGTTTGGCATAATTCTAAAAAGCCAATTTTTACTCAAAAAGCTATGTAAACTTTTGTTATTGAAGAGAGGAAAACTTTCCTTGCAGTTGTTTGTGAAAAATTTTCATCTTGATAACAAGCACCCTAAATGCTATATGCTTGAATTGGTCCCTTGTTACAGGTACATAAAAAGCTACATAAAAAAATTTACATTGATACTAAAGGTCTTACACGATATGGGGCAAGAGTTGCTTCAATGAACTCATCATCCTCAGAGCATAGGAGTGCATTGAAGTCCACCATATCCTCAATGACTTCTTCAGCTTGCCTCCCTTCAGCTGCCATGTCACCAGTGTGATGTTCTGATTTTGACTGGATGTATCTTGAGCAAGACTCAAGGATATCATCCAGCTCCCTAACATCAAATTTTGGAGCTGCATTTGGTGACCTGAAAGGGAGGTTTTCAGGCCACCAGTCTTTTTGACGATACTCCTCCCTCCACATGTTCCTCTTTTTCAAGTCTTCAGAAATGAAAAAAATAAAATGTGATATTCTTAAAAAATATATACAGTGACCAATCCAATATATTTGCTAATAAAAATGATCCCTTTGGCTCCATATGAACACGAGCAAACCTTTCCAATAACAAATTTGAAGGGGCAGAGAGCAATTTACCCAAAAGGACAAATTTTTGCTTTCAGAAAGAGCAGAGCAATAAGTGGAATAAAAATATTTTTCATTTGAAAACACTCAAAAAGCCAAATGTTTTTCAACAAAGCCTGTAGCGTGTTAAGACAAACATGATGCCCAGGCCCTGGGAAAATGGAAAATAAAGGGAAAATAGAGCTAAGTACCTTTCCCCAACACAGCAGCTCCAATCAGTTTTCTTTTGCTATCAACTTGAAAGGATTGAATATCCTCTTTCAAGAAGGTATCAATGATCTTCCATTCCTAAAATGCTCAAAATTTATTCAACACCAAAATTTGCAACCTTGTAAAATTAACTTATTACTAGGGTTACTAGAGGCATGATGAAAAAGTGATAGAATCATTTCAGAATATTTATCACACTATTAGTTTTGTATAATGTAGAATACAAGAAGACATTTTAAAAAAAATTGTATCATATTGCATGTACGTGTTTTGCTAGTGCATTATACGGTATAGGTTCTCTACATGTTACAGAATCTTTCGGCATGCAGTATTGTCTTAGAAATAGTTGTTTTTAGATTATCTCTTAGATAAATAAGAAGTTAAGATCAATCCTTCCAGTTGGCTTGGAAGGTTCTGGTAGAACCTGCCCAACAGCAATGCCTTCAACAAACCGGGATCCAATTTCCAAGAATTTTTTTTTACGTATGGGTCGTCCATAAATTCATGGAAAAATGGATGACCTTGAATGAAAAATAAGAGCAACCATTTTGAAATTAGTTATCAAAAGTGGTGTTTCAAACTTTTTTGAAGTTTCAATTTCTCAAAAAAACCAACTCCATTGTAACATTATGTCAAAGTTAATTGACAAAGACTTCAGGCAACTTAAGGCAAGCAAATATATTTAAAGGTCCTGAGCCTAGACAAAACCAAGCTATATAAAGTAATCTAGCTCTGCATATGATCTTCAATCCTTAACAAATTAAGCTTACAAAGCCTTTCGATACTATGCTGACATCATGATGTGATATTTGAAAATATTGTCATATTTGCACTGTCAAGTTGAAAGTTTTTTTCCAAAAAAGGTTAGGAAGTTGTACAAGCCTATGAGCAGTATGGGTCAGTATTTGCATGCTGACATTTGCTGCTGGTTGAATCATGTTGTTAACCCACGTGTTGTTTACAGTACAAAAAAAGGCCCTTCCGTCCATTCAAAAGGACTGCGTTCCTGCCACAAAAAAAGTTCTGTAGTTTATGAATTTACGTGCCAGTGTGATTCTGGCTACGTAGGACGCACCACCCAAAGATTGGAGGATAGGATAAAACAACACGTTCCATCTAATATTAGAAACAAAACACATCCCCAAAGAGAACAGCCACCTCGGTATTGCAAATCCAAAATTACTACTAAAACCTGCGATTCTGCTATCCCGCAGCATTTGCTAGAAAACCCAGATTGTGCAAAAAACTATAATGGCGACATGTTTCGGATTATTGGTAAAGCCCAATCGTCGTTCCACCTAGCAGTTTTAGAATCTATCTACATAAGCACGAAAAAACCGCTACTGTGTAGACAAAAGGAATTCGTTTTCACCTTAGGACTCCATTGGTAACATTCTAATAGGCAAGCGGCAGTGATTGGTCAACCTTTACAGTCATGTGCTCGTGTTTCTGATTGGCCTATTTCGATCCACAACTGGGTATATATATTTCTTAGCGTAGAGTTTTTGATCTATGTTCTGACGTTTTAAACTCTGAAGAGTGTCAGACGAAAAGCTTTAGTTTACCAAATGTTATATGAGAATTAAATGAATAGAACTAACTTTAAGTATAAATGAATCAGCTTGGAAAATTTACGATTTTGGTTAAACTTTTGCATATTTCTAAAGACTTCTATGTTTCTTGATCAGTCTCTTACCTATGATGCTACCACTTACAACATTTTAAGAAACTACTGGAGCAAGAATAGGGAAATGGCTTGCAAAATATCCTGAAAATCAAAACAGTGCTGTCAGAACAAAATTCATATCGGGGGAGGGGGGGGGGGGGGGGAGGGGGGGGGGGTTGGGGGGGGGACTGCCAATTGTACTCCTTCTCATTCAGTACACTGTTTTAGAGAAAACATACTACAGTTTGACCATTATTAGGGGGAGGGCTCCAGCGGGCCTGCAAAATAAAACAATATTAGTTGTCCCATACAGGCAGTCAAAGTATACCATCATAGTATGGTCTGCATGCGTGCACCTGCACAGTGGCGTAGCTAGCCAAATAGCAGTGGTCATGCCCTCCCACCAATGAAAAAATATGGGTGTGGCCAAATTTTACCACGCCCAATTTTTTAGTTGATGAGTTCCTTTAGGAAATTTTAATTTTAAGGCTTGTGACTTATATAAAGAATTTTATTAACTTTTGGAATGAGCTTTTCTTATTTCATAGCAATCATCTTGTTACACAATGAAATGACGTTTATCTTATAGCTGTGACACTGTTTTGGTTTGCTGGTAATTTATACAGACAGAGTTCTGACAATTTCCAAACAGAACTGTACAAAAGACATTAAAAAACATTAGTTTAGTATAGTAGATAAACTTAGCTTAAATCAAAAATTGTGTTGTTCTCTTAATTTCTTTCAATTTGCAGGCTGAAATACATTTGTAAATTTTAGAGATAAGCTAAAATTTGTAAATGACACAAAAATCACATAAAACTGAATGGGAGCTTTTTGGTCATCTTTTCCACAAATAGTCTTATTATCAATCTATTGAAAGTATTTTAAAGCCATCACGATTAACTAACAACCCCAATAGAACTGATAGTTGAATAAAACAAATTGGCAAAGGAATATGCAATGTAAATATTGATATGATATATAGGAAGCTAAAATAATGGATAGGCCTAGTTGCAAAATATTTTCTGCAAAGTTAGACTTAACAGAAGAATACCTTGCAAAATAAGTTTAGCTTAACAAAAACATTGATGTTTCCACATATGCTTGTGGTAAATATCCACATGATTGGATTGTTCTTACTAAATATAGCAAACAAGGTCTGTAAATGAAATAATTTGATCTTGTAAATTTTCAAATACATCAAAAGTTGTAATAATGAAATAAAACTGTTTAACTAACAAGATCAGTAACATGCTTGACTCGTCTCTGGTCATTTTATTTCAAAAGCTATATGTAGTAAAAAGGTACTTTCAACAACAAGTGAAGTCAGTAGAGCTTTGAGTTTTACTTTAATTGTGTGTAAAAACAGTGTTATTGCATGTGATACTAAACAAAAAATTGAAGAATAACTTTAAGCAAGTTTTGGCATTCCCTATCCATTAACTACAATCTTATTGTCCTAATCATAATATGTTAACAATGCTTTCAAAGGGCTTAACAGTTTCTGAATATGCTGCTAAATGTCTGGAAAGTTTAAGCTCTCAAATCTGTTGGTTTGGAAAATAACACTGCTATCTCCTCCATCCATCTCCAGTGAACAGCACCAAGATTTGGCATTCATTAAATCAAGAAGATTCTCTGCAAATGTTCAACTAGTAACAATTGATTACTGAAAAGGCTGAGAGTTTGGTTTGGTTGCATAAAATGATCCTGCTCTCTGATTTTATGTCCAAAAATGGCCTTTCGTGCCTGTCACTTCTCCACATAGTACAACACCATTAAGGCTGAAAAACCCTGTCATTGCCATAAAATCTTCTGGAGATTAACATGAGTCGTGGCTGCTTGGCAATAAGCTATTCCTTGCATTTTACTTACAGAGAATTACCTCCCAGCTCGTGGATCTAGGCATAGCAGCGCTGCCATCGATGCCTCGCATCCGCACTTACAAAATAACACAGGACTCCACACAGGGCGGTTCTGATGATTATAATGATGGTCATGCCCTCTCAAAATGGCATGACTGGCCTTTGTTCTCTCTTGCGTCACTTCTATTGTTAGGCATGACCAAACATAGGGAACCAGCGTTATGGGCATGACTAAAACACAGGGTTTGGTCATGCTCATAGTTATGGGCATGACTAAATTGGAAACCCTCTGTTTTAGTCATGCCCGACAATAGAAGAGCGCCTTTTGAGGGCTCCATATTCTTGCGTGGAACCCAGTGGCGGATCTAGACAAAAATTTGAGTGGGTTCCAATATGGGCGTGGTCCCCTATTTTTCTGGCAACGCCCTTGACTTTTTCCAAAATTGGGTGACGCCCATTTTCGCTTTTTGATAAGATTCACAATTGCAAGATTTGATTTTAACAAGATATATTATTTCATCATGATTCCAAGACAAGTAAAAAAATAAATCTGTAAACCAAACCAGGAATTGTCATTATGAATTCTAAAAGAATGGTTTCGATTTCTTGCCAAACAGAGGACCTTAATAAATTCCAGCTGGTTACAGCAAGACATAAGCTTACTGAGTGTTGCAAGATTTGAGTGAAATTACTGCTATAAATATTGCCAAATAATAAACAAGACAAATTTACATATATTCATCAAGTTTGTCAAAAATTGATAACAATGGACGAAGCCTCTTATTATATATAGCAAACAAACCCAATTATTAAAACGTGCAAATTATGAAATATAAAGTCATCTTATCCCCTTCTCAAAGTCTTTCATTTTATCTTAATAAAGTTATCTCACTCTATAGATAAATATATTTTGTATAGGGCTTCAAGAGTTCTATAAGCTTTCTACGTCAAAGAGAAAATATCTTCAACATTCCTGAGTTCCTGCCAAGAATTCTCTGCTGCTAATTGCAACGCATTCTTTCGTGAACACCACTTTACAACTATCTGAAATGGACTTTTCGCTAGATCCATGAGAAAAAAGCAGTGATCTGTTTTCTCCAGGTTGGCTAGGCCAGTCGAGAAAAATGAGCAAATAGTTGGCGAGGCGTGTTTGAAAAGCTTTGTTGAAAATTCATAGCACTTTTCCATATGATTATCAAATTTTATTGATTTTAAGGTGCTGGTCCCTTCCTGTTTGAGGGCTTAGAACAAGCTCTCGTCATCGTGCAGTCAAAGCCTCCACTCGCAGCTTCACGTCGCCATTATGACAACAGGAAGCATGTATGGTCAGCGGTTTAAATAAATTCCAATGAGTTCGTGAGATGGGTTCCAAAAGGGTTCTTTTGTTTGTAGCAAAAACAATATAAGACAATTGATTGCCATGGCTACGACAGGGTTCCTTTCTTAAAAAATACAATATGGTACAAAGAGTTGCCTTGGCTACGACAGGGTTCCTTTCTTTAGAGGAATATAATATGTTACAAAAGATAACCATGGCTACGACAGGGTTCCTTTCTTTCACAATACCATATTTAGAGAGCAGCAAAGGTTTTGGTACAAGAGGCCATTTGACGTTGGGACTGGTTGCGATTAATTCGAAAGTAAAGGGAAAACTGATGTTATGTGTCTTTGGAAAATTTGACAGGGTTCCAGAACCCTTGGAACCCGGTCTGAATCCGCCACTGGTGGAACCATAGGGCTCCAAAGGCGAATGGCCTGAGCTATTTCATCGGGGGAATGGGACTTTATTCTTACGAAAAATAATTTTTTGAAAAATGTTTTCTCTGGAAATAGATGGTCATGCCCGGCATGACCGCTAGCTACGCCACTGCACCTGCATAAATAACTTGTCTTCAACAGTGTTAGAAGTACATTCGCATCTTTCCCTGTATATCATATATAATTCTATATACAGGATTGAGTGAAGATTTACCACTGCAGACACACTAAGCTCTAAAATAAGGGTAAGAATACTACTTCACATTTATTTATTTATGGTTGATTTTTGGGAATGGGGTCGCAAACACAGCCTGGCCTGTTTAAATAACCTCCTTTTGATATTTATGACGAGTTCCGATGGCTGGTAGATCACCAAATTCTGGTGACTTACATAGCTCGCATGTTGGGTGCTAGCATGATGTTAGGCTTGATTTTTACAAAATCCAAAATGTATAAACATGCATGTTGGGTGCTAGCATGATGTTAGGCTTGGCATTACAAAATCCTTGTGGAACATGCAACAGAAGTTTTAATGTAACATGTGGGTAATGCAGTCAAAGGGGGAAAGACCAAAATACTTTGTTGACAAATATTTTGCCTGCCCAACGGGTAAAATACAACCTTCATCACAACATCAATAATGTTTTCTAGTAAAATCCCTACATAACTAGTGTATTGTATAATTTACTCAACATATTCATCAAAATTATTAAGCTTCTTACCAAAGTAGATTTAAAGGGGGAACAATCAATCACCAATGATATCTAGGCCGCCCTATCAATTCAGTATAAGCAAAAACACATAGATCTAGAATTCAGGCAAAGACAACTTCCAATAGGCATACAACAAACTATTATTTTTGGTTAAATAGTTGTTCTCTTGCTGCTATCCACAAGTTTCCGATGAGAAAGAGAGCAAATTATAAGAGTTGGCCATTTAAGTTCAGTCACGACTCACAACAAACATTGTTCTTTGATTTTATAATGAAACTTCTAAATCTTGTTTTCTGATAGTATAAACATTAATTATACGAAGTTTCATTTCGATTTGAACTTTCCCGTCAGTTTTATGAAGGATTAGTTGATGCAATCTTTTGACACATTTCAATGGTGGAATTAGGGCCATTAAACATATAAAATGCAAAAAACAATGAAAAAATCAGCCTTTTTTCGTCTCTTTTGCCAGAGCCATACCATAAAGTTCACATTTAACATATTGTTGCATTAATGCATAAAAAAAACAATTTACGTTGTTTTTTTTATGCATTACGGAACATTACGTTGTTTTTTCTATGATTGCAAAAAATCTGCTTTTCAATGCTCCTCCCACCTTTTCATATTCAGCTATTGCACATAAGGTACAATTGCACGAAGAAGATTGCTTAGCTACTTCTTGTTAGGCCAGCCGTTTTTATATTTTTTGATCGTTGTATGAAGCCCCATCATCAAGAGTATCGCATTAACCTAGAAAATAGGGCGCTTCTTATGCCCGTATTGAATCGTAACTCTAGGAAACTATAAATATCACTTTTCCTATGGTAGCTATGCCAATCTAAAATCGGGACTTCTGAATTCTCAAGAACTTGCTATTAAACCATTAGATCTCGCAATTGGATTATTAGCTATGCCCCTCTAAAACCGTGACTACTGACTGAATAAAACCTTACTAATAAACCATTAGATCTCGCAATTGGATTGTTAGCTATGCCCCTCTAAAACTGGGACTACTGACTGAATAAAACCTTAATATTAAACCATTAGACCTCGCAATTGGATTGTTAGCTATGCCTCTCTAAAACCGGGACTACTGACTGAATAAAACCTTACTATTAAACCATTAGATCTCGCAATTGGATTATTAGCTATGCCCCTCTAAAACCGTGACTACTGACTGAATAAAACCCTACTATTAAACCATTAGATCTCGCAATTGGATTGTTAGCTATGCCCCTCTAAAACCGGGACTACTGACTGAATAAAACCTTAATATTAAACCATTAGACCTCGCAATTGGATTGTTAGCTATGCGCCTCTAAAACCGGGACTACTGACTGAATAAAACCTTACTATTAAACCATTAGATTTCGCAATTAGAACGTTAGATACGCCCCTCTAAAACCGGGACTACTGACTGAATAAAACCTTACAATTAAACCATTAGACCTCGCAATTGGATTGGTAGATATGCCCCTCTAAAACCGGGACTACTGACTGAATAAAACCTTACTATAAATCCCTTAGATTTCGCAATTAGAACGTTAGCTATGCCCCTCTAAAACTCGGGACTCCTGATTGAATAAAACCTTACTATTAAACCCTTACATCTCGCAATTGGATTGGTAGATATGCCCCTCTAAAACCGGGACTACTGACTGAATAAAACCTTACTATTAAACCCTTAGATCTCGCAATTGGAATGTTCGCTATGCCCCTCTAAAACCGGGACTACTGACTGAAAAAACCTTACTATTAAACCATTAGATTTCGCAATTGGAACGTTAGCTATGCCCCTCTAAAACCGGGACTACTGACTGGAAAAACCTTACTAATAAACCATTAGATTTCGCAATTGGAACGTTAGCTATGCCCCTCTAAAACCGGGACTACTGACTGGAAAAACCTTACTAATAAACCATTAGATTTCGCAATTGGAACGTTAGCTATGCCCCTCTAAAACCGGAGGACTCGACTGGAAAAACCTTACTAATAAACCCTTAGATTTCGCAATTGGAACGTTAGCTATGCCCATCTAAAATCGGGACTACTGACTGAAAAAACCTTACTATTAAACCATTAGATTTCGCAATTGGAACGTTAGCTATGCCCCTCTAAAACCGGGACTACTGACTGGAAAAACCTTACTAATAAACCATTAGATTTCGCAATTGAAGTTAGCTATGCCATCTAAAATCGGACTACTGACTGAAAAAAAACCTTACTATTAAACCATTAATTTCGCAATTGGAACGTTAGCTATGCCCCTCTAAAAACCGGGACTACTGATTTTATAAAAGCCTTGATATTAAACCGAGATATCACTACTGTCAGGTTAGATATGTCCACCTAAGAGCTAAATTATAATTTTGGGCGAGTTTGTACCATGTATGATTGCTATAAAAGGATTACTGTGAATATGATGACACTGTGATGTTTGGCTTGTAGTGGTTGCTAAAAAATAAAATACCTGTTGGTACAGATTTGCTTATGTCACCATCATCTTCCATGATTTTTATAGTAACTAGAAAACAGTAATATTTCTGATAAATATATATATTTGCAAACATACATCAACTCACAACCATGTTTCTACTATTTGAATTTCAACAGTTTTAAGGCTGATAAATACACACATAAATTGGCATGTATATATTATTTATGAAAACTAACCTTTTTCATTGTCTTCTATGTTCTTTGGGCTAAAGATTCAGAAAAGAGAATATTATTTTATGCAAGTAGGTTCTTGGCATCTAATTGAACAAAGAAATCTAAGTTTAACTGGACATTTTTTCAAAAGGGAAATTATAGAAAACTTACTTATGATGAATGATTTATTTATGTCCATATTTTCAACATATATCCAGTGTTCTTCTGCAAAATAATTAAGGAGTAGTAAAATGTATGCTAGCTTTCATTTTCTTCTTAGATGAAATGGATAAACTAGTAATATTTTCAGAAAACAAATGCAATAAAATGCGACATAACATAGTTACTAAGCAGCATTGCTTGAAAATTAAGGATGTGTCAAACGAATTGGCAAATTCTCTCATTGAGAATTTACTAACATTAAAATACAACTTATTTTATTTACAAAGTTACAAAGGCGGGGTATTTCTGTATATTCCAATTGAATTATGGAGGATGTTTGATTCTCATGAATAAATAACAATGATAGTTATATTGTTATAATGAGCACAAATGTTATATATGAGGAAAATGACTCTTAGTAGCTTAGTCATGGGCAAAGAACTACTTGAGATAGCAACATGAGGATTGCAACTAAATAACCTAATCTACAGCAGTTTTGCCAGACAATTCAGAGGTATAATGAAAATTTAATGTCAAAAATGAATTTAGAGCTGCAATAATAAAATTTTCTGCCACTTCAACAGTAAGCAGGGTTCACATACAAATGAAAATGGAAAATAAGTAGTAACTTGCTACAGATCTTTTAGATCTAAGGCTATTAATAGGGAATATTTAGCTTATGAATTTTGCTATTATACTACAACACAAAAAAAGCTCACTTAAAGAAACGGGTAATATTACTAGGTTATCATGATATTCAAAAAAAGCTCACTTACTAATGGTTTCAGCAACCATTTGTGTAACAGTGTTTTAAATGTATAAACATGCATGTTGGGTGCTGGCATGATTTAGGCTTGATTTTTACAAAATCCAAAATGTATAAACATCGCATGTTGGTGCTAGCATTATGTTAGGCTTGATTTTTACAAAATCCAAATGTAATAAACATGCATGTTGGGTGCTAGCATTATGTTGGCTTGATTTTTACAAAATCCAAAATGTATAAACATGCATGTTGGGTGCTAGCATTATGTTAAGGCTTGATTTTTACAAAATCCAAAATGTAATAAACATGCATGTTGGGTGCTAGCATTAT